TAGTTACTAAAATATCGCAGTTTTCGTATTTCTGGAAATTACCGTTATATGGGAAGTGGGCGTGGTTAAAGTCCGATTTCGCCCATTTTCAATACCAACCTACCTTGGATTAAGGGAAACCTACGTACCAAATTTCGTTGAGATATCTCAATTTTTGCTCGAGTTATCGTGTACACGGACAGACGGACAGACGGACAGACGGACAGACGGACGGACGGACGGACAGACAGACATGGCTTAATCGATTTCTTTTTTCATCCTGATCATTTATGTATACATTTCTCTATATCTATCTCGATTCGTTTTGGCTGTTACAAACAACCGTTATGTGAACAAAATTAATATACCCTTGTGCACAAGTGCGCTCGGGTATAAAAACTAGAACCTCCCTATTATAATTGCCATTCGTACTGTCATCAAGTATGTAATTTGAGAATAGAAATCGCTGCATCTTTTAGGCGCATCAATATTGAGTTACATCCCGAGCTAATAAAAGGAAGGTAAAGGCTTAGACTTTGTTGCTTTTGCCTAACAAATCGTGACACAAAGCTCAATAACATTGCTACAAGTAAATATTATTACGCCACAATAATAATAACGAAAAATATATTTTTTTTCTAATTTCATTTAATTTTTGGCAACTTATTTTATGTATTTCTTCCTCATTTTCTTTTAAATTTTAGATTTAAATGTTTTAAAAATAAAAATATTTTTTTATTTCATTTCATTTTTAGAAACATTTAATTTTTTAATTTTATTTATTTCAGCTTTTTTTAATTTAGTTTTCTTCTATTTTTTGTTTTTATTGTAAAAAAAAAAATTTAATTTCATTTAATTTTTAGGAGCGTTTTTTTATTTTATTTATTTAATGTTTTTCCTTTTTGGTATATTTTTTTAATTTTATGTTTTAAAAAGTAAAATATATATTTTTCTAATTTAATTTAACTTTTAGAAACTTATTTTATGTATTTTTTTCTCTTTTAACTAATTTTTCTTTTTTTCCTTTAACTTTTAAGTTTAGTTGTTAAAAAAAATATTTTTTTTCATTTAATTTAATTTTTAGAAACATTTCATTTTTTTTAATTTTATTTATTTTAGCTTTTCTTAATTTAATAATAATAATAATACACATACGTTAGTGCTTGGCTTCTCCTCTGGTTTGTCGCTTGCGCTTGCGAATGGCGATTATATTTTTATGAGAGGCCGTTTTTCATGGCAGAAATGCACTCGAGAGTTTGCCATCGCCTGCCGAGGAGCGACCGCTATTAGAAAAACATCTTTTTTTGGTTTTTATTTTTTGGTATTGGGTTCAACCGGACTGAACACCCGCACTTCTAAACACTACACTATTTTTTAATTTAATTTTCTTTTTTTTTTTGTATTTCATTGTTAAAAAAATATATATTTTTTTATATAGATATCATTTGATATTTAGGAACTAAGTTTTTGTCTTAATTATCTTTCATTCTTCAGATTTTATTGTTTTAAAAAGAAAAATATTATTTTGAATTTTATTTAGAAACGATTTTTTAATTTAATGTTTTTCCTTTTTAAATAAACCCTTCTTAATTTTTCTTTTAAAAAAATTAAATTAACATATTTTGTTAATTTAATTTTATTGTTGGAAACTTTTAAACTTAATTTTTTATATTTTAATAAAATTTTTTTAATTTATAGTATTAATAGTATATAAAAAATTTTTGTTTTTCGCTTCATTTAATTTTTAGAAATTTATTTCGTTTCTCTTTAATTTTATTTATACATAGCAATAAGCAATGTTGAGTTTGAATAAAAATTTTTTTTTTAATATTTTCTTTTTTAATTTCATTTAATTTTTAGGAAGCTATTTTATTTTTTTTATTTTATTTTAACTTTTAGATGTTATTGTTTGAAAAAAAAAAAAATATATTTTTAATTTTATTTAATTTGTGGTGGATCATTTAATTTCTTTTTTTGTTAAAAATTTTTTCGTTTTGAAATGGCATTTTCCTAAATTTGTAGTTTTTATTGTTATAAAATGAAAAAAATTTATTTTTAATTTCATTAAGCTAAGAAGAAAATTACGTAATTATCTTAATTTTAAATTTACGTTTCTTTAAACTTTTAGTTTTTAATAAATATTTTGAACAGAAAAAAAATTGTATTCAATTAAATTTTTAGAAAACTTATTAAATGACCTACAGAATATAGGCTAAGACCTTCTCGTTAGCAGATCTTTCAATTAGTCTTTAAAGACAGAAAAGTGGTTTCAAAATAGCTGCCATTATTGACAAATATCTTACGAAAGACTTTTTTCCTTCGAAAGACTGTGTTGAGTTGAATTGCCCTGTAAATTTCAATACATCTAAATAAAAATGTACATATATATATTCACATGCGTACCTGCATTAATTTTCACTTGTAGGGGCTTCGGAAAAGATTTAGGAACAAAGCACGATCTTTACGCTGTCGCGCCTGTCCTCAGCATGATTGGCGATTACACAATTAAAGGACGTGTACTAGTGCTACCGATAACCGGCACTGGCAAAAGCAATATCACAATGGGTATGTTGTGAATTAGAAAACCTTTATGTAAATCTGTAATTAAAAATGTACATTTTTATCTTATATATCTAAATAGTTAATGTACGAATTCATATTCGTTTTACTGGCGTTCCAATGGAGAAACCAGACGGTCTATACATGAAGGTGAAGGATGTGCGTTTAGATGTGCAGCCAGATAGAATGATTTTCAATTTTGACAACCTTTTTAATGGTGACAAGATGCTGGGTGAGACGATGAACGGTTTCCTCAACGAAAATTGGAAGGATATTTATCATGAGGTGCGAGATAGCTTCAACGAAGCTTTTGCCCAAATTTTCACCACCGTTATAGACACAGTGTTTAGTAAATATCCTTATGAGAGGTACTTTACGGAATGAAATTCTATTTTAAGACTTTTCTTTATTTATTTTATGTAAAATCAGTTTAAGTATAAATATACAATATGTACCTGTAAAAACATACTTGTACATACATATGTATTATTACTGTTTTATAGCTGTCTGGCCTCATTATATATATGTGTATAAATATTGTAATAAAAACTTTTCTAATACAGTAAAGATGTAACTACCTTTTAATGACCATGCTATGAATGCCAATATTATCACCAGCAAATTTTTACTTATTCCGTTCTGAAAAACGCTATTAAAAGAATTGGCAATCTATGTTTTTTCAGTAATAACTGGGCGTGTTTTTTTTTTTAATTTAGCAAATTTTTTGGATACATAGGGATGATTTGATTAGGTTGGGCTTCTTTAATTTGGCCATCCTTGAGTCACACATATACCGTTTGGTCCTTAGCGTTGCCAGTTGAAGCTCGATATTAAGCGTTAAAGTAGGCATCAAAAAGAATTGTACCGCTTTTTGCGAACTTCAGCTCAACTTCTACTTTCAGTTCGTCTTCAAGTTCTCCTTTTTGACAATGTGGGACAACGGTATAGAAGATGCTGCTGCACCTGTCCTCTTAAGATATGCATCGTAAGCAATCCGGTAGCAACTCTGCAATCCTCCCTTGATAGCCGTAACAAGAAGCGAGTACACTTAGGTCTCTCTTTATACGGTTTTTTTTATGCGGATTTGAATTTATGCAGTTTTTCAAACCATTATTTCGCAGCAGGGATTTTGCTTTTTTGAGAGTTTTCATTACTTTTTTTTCATTGTGTAAGAGACATTGCTTCTGATAAATAATTTGTCTTGTATTCTTACATAATTCATGTATTTCTTGTGGTACTTTTTTTTTGTTAAAATACAAATTTGATTTATTTCATTAATGTTCAATTTTACATGGAATAATAAGTGTTGAAGTGAATAAATAAATAGTTTTTTCTTGCTTAATAATGCCTTACTGGATTTTTTATGCAGTTTTTTAGAATTTTTTACATGGAGTATCTAAATTTAAGCGATTTTTGAAAATGCTGGAACGCATCACATGTTTTTGAAGAACTTTTTTATGCGGATTTTTTTTTTTATTTGGCTTTCTTAGGAACGCATGTATCGCATAAAAGGAGACCTAAGTGTAAGTTAGTTTCAACGTTTTGCACAGGTGGTTAACTCATTCAATCTAGCTCCGAAGTGCCTAATCAGTCTATCTTACCCCTCCTTATAAAAGTTTTGGGGTGGTCCATAAATATTCTAGAGTTAGACTGATGGCCAGGACTGCTAACTATCCTTAGCTATGAGGTGCCATATTGAGGATAAAAAAGTACCAAAATGTGCCAAATAGAAAAATAGGTGCCATTCTTTTTAAACCTTCATATTTATCTATAAAATAAGAACCACATTTCTAAAACAAAAGTGAAATGATAAAATAAGATAAGGCAGTTGAATAACCTTTAGAAATGAGAACATTTTAGTTGAGCAAGAAAAGTACACGCAAAAGATTTCACAAAAATTTATTGAAATGTTATTTTTTTGCAAAAGTGTCAATTTAAATAAAATAGGGCCAAAAATAGCACGGTTTAAGCCAAGTTGCTAGCCCTTCTGATGGCGCTCTTGGCAGTCTCATCTCCTATTTCCTTGCCCTCTATTCCTTTGTGGCGGCCGGACACCCTGTTAAAGGCTTCCCGGCTACGAAGGACGTTTCTAGATGAAATTCTCTGAGGTGACTGTCGTAATTGCCGCCTGACTGTCTACGTATGAGTTTACTTTTCAGTTGGTTTTCGTTTCGGTGTAGGCCAGCTCTGCTTCTATCCTCATAGCGACAAACTCTGCTTGAAATATGTAGTACTAGTCGGATACAAGTAAGCTTACTACCCAATGCCTTTACCGTCAGTGAAAAAGATGAAGGATCTACGACCAGGTTTTATTGTTTGCACAACCCGTCCTCCTCAATTGTTATACGAAACAATTTTGCCTTGACCTAAGATTCTGCAATTGAAATTCCCTATGGCCGTCAATCTACCTGTGGATGATGCAGATTTAGCAGCGAGAAGCTGGTCGGGCGAATGGTACAGCTGTTAAGCAGAATTTAGTCTGATGAGTACATACCCCAAGACTGGTATCTCAGTGTACTTTGTCCAATCAACATATTTGCTTATAGAGTCCTGTCGGCGATACTGTGTGAAAGACTGAGGCCCTTCACGAACCAACTTATTGGACCTTACCAATGTGTTTTCAGGCCTGGTAAGTCTATTATTGCCGAGATTTCCACAACAGTCAAATCCTGGAGAGGACACTAAATACGCAAATTGACCACACCACCTCTATGCTGATTTTAAATCTGCTTTTAATAACACGAAGAAAAGCTACCTTAACGGCGACATTTCTAGATAAGGGATAAGGGCAAAACTAAGAGTAACCTTCAACGCAAAATTCAGCTCTGTTCAAATTGGGAAGGACCTCTCCGCGCTGTTTGAGATGAAACTAGGTTTTAGACAAGGCGATTCATTTTCATGCGACTTTCTCAATCTGATGCTGGAAAGCTTAATAAGAGCTGCCAATCTGAATCACAGTAGCACCATACATATGCATATGATATCGACATCGTTGGCATGCAGCTTAGGGACGCAGCGCTTTGCAGATAAAGCGAAGAATAACTATTGCCAACAAGTGCTATTTTGGAATCGGTAAAGCAGAGCCATCTCTCGACGAAAGAAAGTCACGCTCTACAGATTCTCCCCTTTATACGGTGCAGAAACGTGCCCGATATCGACCAAAGATGGGAAGACCTTCGGTGTTTTTGAAGGAACTATTCTACGCAAGATCTACGACCATGTTTGCGTGGACGACGGGTATCGAAGAAGATGAAGTGACGAACTGTATGAACTTTTTAATGACGTGGACATAGTTATGCGCATAAAAAGACAACTATTCGATCCGATCATCCCCAATGAGTGTTCAACATGGTGGGGAGCAATAACATCATACGCAATAAGGCTATATTGGCTTTATTTCGTTTGGCAATTGGAAATAAAACCACAATTTCGATAGGGCCTTATTTCCAACTAAAGTGCAATGCAGTGGGACCCGGAATGAATGAAATATTTTTCTCAAAAAAAGAGAATATCCTCCAAACACCCATCCTTGACCAAAAAAAAAATTAGTAGATATCTACAAATGTAAATTTATGTAGATGCTACAAATGTATATGTAAAATTATAAAATTCTAATTTCAACAATCAAACAGACGAATTCGGCCAACAAAATTTCAGCTTGCTGCATATTTAAAGGACAATTATGTTACAAACGGAAAATGTCATACGGCAACCATAGTCAGCGCACACTAAAGTAAACAAACCGGAGATTAATAGTAAATTAACTAAAGATAAACTCAACAAACCTTGTGCTTTACTCTTGTTCGTTCTATACTAGCATTAATAATAAAATTTGCCATGAATAATTCAAAAATGTCATATTTTCTCTATATTCTCTCTCTATTCTATACACAAATGCAACCATGCGCCACAACCACATGTTATTCGTGTTTGCAAATTCTTGCTGGCAAAATTTTTTCCAGCAAGAATTTGCAACTTCTCTCCAAGAGAACTGTCACTTTGCTCTCACAATCACAGTATATACAGTAATAAACCTTTTCGCAGTTTTTCACCAATTGGTCCCCGAGGAGTACTTTTGGGTTGCGTGCAGCGTTTTCGTTTTTCGCGCACGCCAACACTAACTGTGGGGAATTTCGCCTCATGATTAGAAACACTTCTTTCTAAAGATAAAATATATGTAATTACGTGTTATTTATGAACAAAATGTAGGTGAAGTATAATATTAATGTTTAATTCGGAATAATGTCAATAGTTAAGTACATACATAATTAACGTTTGTGTTTCTATAATCTGTAAAACTCAAATAGTAGTTATAGCATTGAATGGAGTTCTCTTAAATGTAGATTTCAAATTTAAAAAATATTCATTTTAAAATTATATTTTTAGGAAAAAACGCAAATTTTGTGTTATTTTGTGAATTTATCAAGTAAAATTCTAAAATTCCGAATATATTTAAGTCTTTATTCAAAAAAAAAAACTAGTTTTGTATAGTTATAGAGACTCCAATTCCTGCCAGCGCATCCGCCCAGACAGCTCATTAAGCGCACCCAAGTTTGAGTGACCACACATACAATAGTAATTGCTACCGTATAAATCCAAGGCATGCGTTTGCTTGGAAACTCCGTTAGTTAGGTGGTCATAACTTCAGCCAGCACATTCAATGGTCCATTACCCGGAGCTGCTCCAACATGATGAGTAGATTTAAATAAGTTGTTGTTGTTGTAGCAGCATGCAAGTTCCCCAAAGAGTTTTTGGGGAGTGTTGCTGGAGTGACAGTCCTTGGCCAAATATAAATCTGGGTCGTTCCGGTTACGTAGACCCGACTGTCGTGGGAACGATTTAAATGAGTCTCACATGCATCTGCATGAGTCTCTCACTGCATCTGGCTACAAGCAGGATATGAAATTCACTACTCGTCAAAGAATGTGCATTTTTACGTTTTCAGTATTTAACAAATCATTATCATTTACGGTGTAATATAACCAGTTAAATACTGAACTCTGATGATCTGTATTAGTATCTATATTAATAGAGAATAATTTGCAATTCTTTGCACTTTCGTAATTAACTTCGGTCACTATTATACAGTCATGTCTTGTGCCACTCTGCCAAGGCACGGTTGTTGCTCCCTTTCATACCACAGTAATTTTGTATACAACTCTGAATCAACAAATTTCATGATCATTCTCGTTATCAACCCTGATCAGATTTTACCCCTAATGCTGGATTTCCACTAGGCATTAAATGGCAAAAATGACAAATGACAAAGTCAGGCATTAAAAGAAAATTGTTTCATTACATTAAAAAATGATCATTAAATTCATTTCCACATGGCATTTTTTTAAATGCCCTACATTTTTTGTCATTTCAATGCCTAGTGGAAATTCAGCATAAGGAGTACTCAAAAAGGTTTATTACTGTATATACTGTGCTCACAATT